GGGAAACTGACCAACTAATTATGAACTAATGGGTTAATAATTGGAAGATCACTCTAAAATAGCTAAAAGTAAAAATTAAATGAAGTAAATAGGCTGATCATTTTAATTAAAGGTCATACCTTACACTTTCATCAAAACAATTAATTTGAAAAATAAACATACATCCACAGAAAAATGGTGCATAATAAAGATATTCATTTCACTTAAAATGGTGTATCAATATTGTTTTTTTTTTTTATAAATTTTGATGGTTCCAAAATGTATAAATATGTATATATTCTGCAGTCATAGGAATAACAGATTAAGAATAGAGCTGAAAATAGCCTCTTCTTCTCTACATAATTTCTCAGAATTAAACCTAAGAAAACAAAAAAACACGAAACAAAATCAGGGTGAAGATCAGTAGAAGTTTGCCGTTTACTTAATGAAGCAGAGGAGCTCAGAAATCCCGCAGACGTTGCTACTTTTCTTCTGAACTCAAAAGTTAATTGTTTGTTCTGGTGTGCATTAGCATTAGCGGACCTGGCAACCCGTCTAGCAAACGGTCAAAAACAGGCGAGTGCCACTTATGCTGCCTTCATTTGCAATCGTAATTATGGTAAATACCAAAAACTGACATTAAAATTGCGAATTAACAACTCTTGTTATATTTTCCTCTGCAAAGATTCTGTGACACCCGAGTTGCCTAGATGAGGTTTCATTTCAACATTGCGGAGAACTGTGAAACTTTTCCATATGGACTTTAAAACATCCTCTCCCGTTGTGTTTGTAACCTACACAATGCTGTGGCATACATTTTAAGAATAGCAATATCAGCATTTAATCTTGTGGATAAAAAGGATAATCTTTGGATCCAACATGATTCTCTTCCCTGCCACAATATTAGCATTTGAACGCAATGCGCTGCTAATTTACACTTTACAACTTGAAAGGATCATCTTTACCAGACTACATGAAGGCACCATTAGTTTTATCAATAACCTTTAACTAAATTCCTTTATTCCAACACCAACATAGCTGCATTTGTGGCTTTAAAGTCTACATTTATAACATTGCAATTTAAAAACAGCTAAAATTAATGAATAAAAAAAGTTAACTATTAGTGATTAGCTGCATATTTATCCATATTGGTCCAAAGGTTTGCCTATCAGGGTTTATCTTTGCTGATACTAAGTGACCAAGCTTCAAGTTTGTTTTGTTACCTGATCTTCTTTGTTAGATTTTCAGGGAAAGGAATCAGCTTTTGGTGATTTTTTAACACAGTAGCTTTCAATTCAAGAACATAACTGAATTATTAGATGATCTATATTTAAACAGTAACCCTGATCAGCTGATTTGTTTATTTAAATCAAATGAAGCTTAAAGGAATAGTACACCCAAAACATGATTAGCCTTCATTTTCTACTCACCCCCATGCTGAACAACACTCTGGAGTACTTTTTTGATATCTCAAATGCATCTGGAGATCTGGGAGGCTTCTTGCTGTCTGCTGACATTCAAATAATGGAGGTCTATGGTGCCCGAGACAGAAAGGTTCATAAAAGTCCACAAAAAACGTGTCAATATTCCTCCATACTGCTCGTCCAATGTATTCCAAGTGTCCTGAGTGGGTAGCATCCAGAATTTACTCGAAACAAAGTCATTTAGAATGTTTTTAGAGCATAAACAGTAGTGTATAGGATTTCCTGAAAGCGCGCACATGCGCGTTCACGAGTCTACGGAAACCGCGGCAGACCAAACCAGCGCATTCAGCTCGGCAAAGAACTCCTGCTCTTCCTCAACACTGAAGTCCTCAGACATTTTTCTTTTGTTGTTTCTTTCTTTGCACAGGTAAACAGCACATTTCTTCTACTACGCTTGCATTATCAGCAGAGCAGACGCTGAATGCGCACTTTCATCTGGTTTGGTCCTGAACCTTTCAGGAAATCCTATACACTACTGTTTATGCTCTAAAAACATTCTAAATGACTTCGTTTCGAGTAAATTCTGGATGCTACCCACCCAGGACACTTGGAAAACATTGGACGAGCAGTATGGAGGAATATTGACACGTTTTTTGTGGACTTTTATGGACCTTTCTGTCTCGGTCACCATAGACCTCCATTATTTGAATGTCAGCAGACAGCAAGAAGCCTCCCAGATCTCCAGATGCATTTGAGATATCAAAAAAGTACTCCAGAGTGTTGTTCAGCATGGGGGTGAGTAGAAAATGAAGGCTAATCATGTTTTGGGTGTACTATCCCTTTAAGTGTAAATTCATTCTGGAAGACTCTTATCAGCTTCACCTGAACCACCTGCCATGTCCCTCATTCAGCTCCAGCCAATCAACTCAGGGTTGCTGCTTCTCCAAAGGCAATCATCTTGCAAGATCCCTTCATTTAGCTCCTGGCCTAACTTCTCTGTCGCCCAGGCCAGCGAACTTCACCTACCTCCACCCCATCTCCTCCCTCATTCTCAGTCCCACTAACCCTCTGGCTTATTCATCCACCAGTGTCTGGGCCCCGGGGGAAGACTACTCAAATCATTTTCTAAGTTACTCATCCAAGCATAGGTTGATCCACAGCATCAGAGTCTTTTGCAGGGGCCTGAGTGCCAAATAATGTATTTCCTTTACTCTTCATCTACTTCTGTCTCCTTGAACCCCAGTCGGCCTCAGCAGATGGCCGCTCACACTGAGCCTGGTTCTATTGGAGGTTTCTTCCTGTCCAAAGGGAGTTTTACTCTCCACTGTCGCCACAAGTATGCTTGATGCGAGGGACTTCTGTCCAGTCAATGAGTCGATGCAATCAGCTGGTTTTCCTTAGAAATTTTTTGAAGAATATGTGCTACCTTTATAAATAAATGGAATATTTTCTAATTGCACCTCTTCTCTGTGTGTCTCTACAGGTTAAAATAAATTTCATCATTGTATGAGTTTTTTGTTGATGCATTTGTCAATAAAACAGTAAGAGAGTTTGCAGTTTTGATGTCATTAATGTGCAGTAGAAAACAATATTTCTTTTAAGTTTTTAAGCAGCCAATCACTCATTGGTAAGAAGCATTGGCTCTGTCAAATCTCTTAGGCCAGTTGAGTGATTTATGTCAGATTAAGTCTAAGTGTGTATTATTACAGTGAAAGGGGTCTTTTTATCTGCTTGCTAAGTTCTAGTGAAGTCCATCTATATATCGTAGACTCTCAAGAACCTTAATTGACCTTTTGCCATGTGTGTTTTCTGAGGATTTAAAAAAGAGACAACCAGGAAGCTAATAAGCTTTCTGCTGATTAGACTGAACAGGATTATTAATTGGATGTAATGGAAATAATTGGGAGGGATTTGGCTGAACAATCAGGTCTACTGGGAGAGGGGACTTCATCTCAAGTAAGGCACATAGGAAACTGAGCTGCTGAGGATCTGCGATCCTGGCCCACCCCCCGAGGCCATTGTGAAGGAAGCTCAGAGGCTCAGGTGTCACTTTATTTTCCTACAACCTACCATGTGGAACTCACCTGGTCTCAAGTGTCCTAAAAGCGTTTCCTGATAATAGCTAATACACCATCTTACTGCAGAGATCAAGTCTTACCAGACTTTTTATGCAACTGCAACATGCAAACATATTAAAATAAACATGTTTTTAGGGTGACTGATCTTGTAGGCCAGTTCCTGAGTATATTTAAGGCTGCTTTTCCAAAACCCGTTAGCATAGAGTAGAATAGGGAAATATTGATCTCCATGCCTCTGTTATAAAGAATGATTCTGCTCAGTGCAGGTAGAAGTTGTTTTGTTTTATAACCTGCAGCACCTGTAGTTATTTTCACCATGCAAACACCTGCTTCCCGTTAACTGATGATTCCACACATCCAAGCTTCTCCCCGGGCTGTGTTGCTCTTTACTAGTAGAGTTTGCATTATTATTATTTGTACAACTTTTCTCAGGCTGATTCAGCCATGTTACACCTTCATGCTGTAATTTTCTAATTTTAAACAAAACTGGTTAGTTTCAAACACAAGGGCCCAGTCTGTTACCTAACACACTGCAGCCACTATGAGTCTTTGAAAAAAAGTTAAAAAACATTGTAGAATTCATTGATGTTTCTGGAAAAAGACAAAATTATGTTTGCATTTTGTTCTGATGAATAAGTAATAGAAAACAGAAAATACTCCAAAAAAGAAAGGACTTTCAAATCTGCATTACATCACTTTTATCTGGTGCTTTTTTTTTTTTTTTTTGGGACCTATACGTCATCGTAGTTTGTTTAAAAAAAACGCAGAACCTGAAGCAACACATCTCTCCATTAACACATGCACATGTCTGGCTTCTATTCTCAGATTATTCTGCCTAATTGGCTCCTTATTGAGGCAGAATATTGAAATATCTCCTGCAGACACTGTTTGTTCACACTGACAACATACATTCAATTGTACAACAAACTGTTTTTTTAACTAACTAATCCTGCAAAACCTTATTGGAAATTTGTTTAACATTTCACCAAATATTTTAATACTTGTATTACTAATATATAATTGATTAGGCATTGTTACTAATCATTAAACCCATAATGTTTTAGGTATTTCCTTTGAGAAAGGCAAATTCATTATAACCAACAAAATGTAGACATTTTTAATAATTGTAAAAGTATTTCGATAATTTATAATATCAATAATTAAGTTATTAATTAATATTTTTTTTTACATTTTCCTATTTAGAAAAAGGCACATATACTTTGCTAACCCCTAGCTTTGCTTCCATTTTAAAGTGAAAGAATCAGAGAATTGGCCATGTGAATGTAAAAAGTTTATAACAAAAATAAAACAACATTAGTGTAATATGGTCTTGAAACGGTGAAATTTGATTTTTTTAATTTTTTTTATTTGTCAGAATGACTTTCTGTTAATTTTCCCCACTGGGAATGCTTGCCAGTAGCCCTCAGTCTTCATACAGCTTCAAATGACCACTTCTGATAAATATAGCTGCGACATTCAGGCTGGATGTGAGACGTAAAGCTCTGTGTCTTCTTCTTACCTTTTTCCCCACCTGTCTGAGGACGGGCTCCAGAACTGCAAGGTGGTTTCTTCTCTCCTGGTGTTTCCCATTAACCAAACTGATGCATGCTGTGTGTCTGTCACCACAGCTACTCCTTCTACTCAAAAACAGCAGAGTGCAGCTCTGTCATCTTCAGCAGACCTTTTCTCCTCATCCTTTCTTTACGTCTAGTCAGTTTGGACGAAAATGCAGTTGTGACCCTGATGAATCCCACAGAACCTTTGGGCCTCTCCGCTGCCACTCACTCACTGCCGCACTTGCAAAGCGGAGGCAAAAGCTGTGAGATAGTCCTATCCAAACGATAATTCAGGTTCTTGTATCTCCATCCTTGAGGCAGTCGTTTCAACTGCTCTAACTTTTACTCCTTCACTAAATCCTAAAAAACAGTAAATGCCCTCAAACTGCTCTCTTCACCATTCTTTTGCAATCTGATCTAGTTGGATTGCTGTTCCCTGTCTCTATCTCTCTCTTCCTGCTTTGTGTGTTATCACAGCCGCCCTCCTCTTTCTCTGTCTCTCTCTCTCTCTCTCTCTCTCTCTCTCCGTCCTCCTCCCCTCCTCTATTTTCCTCCCTATCTTGGTGTCTCACCCTCCCTCCTACATCATGGCACCACCAGTTGACAGCAACTCGATGCACAGACTCATCGTTCAGACCATCAGTGCTCCATCATGTTTAGAGAAAAGTAGGTGAAGCATCGTTGTGAAGAACAGAAGCTTTTATGTTGATGACACACATGGAAACGACAATGGAGTCATTAATTCTCGAAAAGAGAATCTCAACCAGTGCATATTATGAATTTACAAAAGTCTTCACACCGCTTTGACTTTTATCCATCTTAATTACATTTTAGATTTGTTTAATGTGGTAAATCAAATTTTAAATTATTATTCAAAATATAAACCAAGAAATATAGACCAATTAAAATCCTGTCCAACTTTCCTTTCAGAGAAGAATAAGTTGAGGACCCCATAGCTGCCCCTCTATTTTTATGTCCTCAAAATGCTCTTTATTACTAATCGCTTCTTTTTCCAAAAGCCTCTAAAAGCCCTTAATTTACAAAATATATATAATTGCTGATACAAAGCTCGCAGCTCTTTAAAAGTGATTATTAAAATCAGTCGTAATCAATCAAAGACCTAAACTAATCAAAGTTTTCTTTCTTTCTTTCTTTCTTTCTTTCTTTCTTTCTTTCTTTCTTTCTTTCTTTCTTTCTTTCTTTCTTTCTTTCTTTCTTTCTTTCTTTCTTTCTTTCTTTCTTTCTTTTTTTCTTTCTTTCTTTCTTTCTTTCTTTCTTTCTGATTGTCTGTCTAAAGCTCAGAAAGCATAATGAAGAATAAAGAACACACCAGGAAGGTCTGAAATACTGTTGTTGAAGCCAGATTTGGATACAAAAAGATTTCCCAAGCTTTATACATTCAAAGGAACTCTGTGCAAGTGATAATATTGAAATGGAAGAAGCATCAGGGCACTGAGAATCTATGAAGACCGGCCTTACCTCTAAATTTTCAGCACAAATAAGGAGAGGACTGCCCAGAGATGCAGGCAAGAGGCCCATGATCACTGTAGATGAGCTGCAGAGATCTACAGCTGAGGTGGAAGACTCTGTCCATAGGACAATTATCAGCCATATATTGCACAAATCAAACTTTTGGCAACAATGTTAAATTATATGTTTGCATAACAGTAACACAGCTCATCATTCTGACCACGCCATCCTCACTGTCAAACATGGTGGTGGTAGCATCAGGGTTTGGGCCTGCTTTTCTTCAACAAGGACAGGAAAGATGGTTAAAATTGATGGTAAGATGGAGGGAGCCTAATACAGGACCATTTTGGAAGAAAAGCTGTTGGAGACTGGTACAATATTTCAAAACATAAAGTATAATCTACAATGAAACAGTTCACAAAGAAACATATTCAGGTGTTAGAATGGTCTGCTCAAAAAGTTAGCTGTTTGGTCCTAGTGCTCAGCGAATGTCTGTGTACTGTAGCGTAACATTGTTTTTGGACAGTAAAACGTGCAGGGGACAAAAACTGACTTTTGAAAAGTTGCAGGGGACATGTCACCTCATTATGCAAAACTCTTGTTGTGCAAAACTGATAGAGACATACCTAAAGCAACTTGCAGCTGTAATCACAGCAAAAGATGGCCCTACAAAGTATTAACTTAAGGTGGCTGAATAACTTTGCACACCAGAGTCTTTACTTTTTTATTTGTCAAAAAAGTTCTGTGGCTGCATACTTTCCCAAAACTCTGTATATTGTATATTTTTAACATTTACAATTCATTCAAAAGTTATATGTTCTTCATTTCAAATGTTTGTTTATTACAAAATGGTAATTTAATAAAATAATAAATTTTAAGATTACATGATTAATCAAAAGGTAAATAAATAGCTAATCCGATCATTAAAATAATTGATAACTGCAGCAGTAATACATATAAAAAGTTGCATGAATTGATTTCTTTGATAATTGGCTAACCTGTTTCAATTTAATTTCAATTGAAACAGGTTAGCTGAGCTGTTCTCTTCAAATATAAACAGTAACCGTACTCAAGTTAGTTAGGTTATGCTTAATTAATATAAAGATTGTTCAATTCAATTCAGTTCAGTTTATTTATATAGCGCCAATTCACAACACATGTCATCTCAAGGCACTTTAATGTTCACCAGATCATCCAGTCAAATTGATTCAAAGTTTCTATCTAAGGAAAACCAGTTGATAGCATCGACTCATTGACTTGCATGCAATCCCTCACACTAAGCATGCTTGTAGCGACAGTGGAGAGGAAAAACTCCCTTTTAACAAGAAGAGACCTCCAGCAGAACCAGGCTCAGTGTGAGCGGCCATCTGCTGAGGCCCACTGGGGTTCAAGGAGACAGAAGTAGATGCAAAAAGCAGCTGTAAAAGGCGGCCCCGTCCAGGAAACACACAGCCAGGCAGAAGAGCTCCCAGTCAACCCCCACGTCAGAGGATGAAGAGAGCACATCCATTCAGTCACAGTCAGAGAAACGGGACTACACTAAAAAACAGGCCGATCTCCAACATCTATAATTACAGGTGTTGATGGCAGCAGCACAGCTGATAATTCACCAGGATGGAGTAACAGCATGGGCGTAGGTTTGCATAGGGACCATAGGGACATGTCCCTACCAAAATTTTGAACCGACCTAATTGTCCCGACCAATAATTGGATGTGAGCAACATGTTTATAATTTACAGCAGTAGTTATTGCAGCAGTGGCTTCTTTTCCTCTCGCAGCTATTCTGCCTGCTCTCTCCTGTCCCTTTCACGTAGCAGCGCATGGAACTGTGCTGCGCTGTTTAACTCAACTCTCATTGGTTGTTCTGCCTTAAGTTCCGCCTTCTCTCTCTCTGATTGGCTGTTTAGTAGTCCGCGTGTGCTTGGAGCACAACATTGAAAATTTATTCACACTAGAATGCAGCGGTTACAACAATTAATATTAGGCTACAAAAATAGTCCCAATAAAAACATGAATATCATGTACACTAAAAAACAAAAACAAAAGCCAGGAGTTCTGAAGACTGCTGGAAAAATGGGCAAATAAAGGCTGTAAGCCATCAACATTTCTGATTCTTAGCCACAGCCAACTAAAAAAGAAAATGTGAGGGTTTCCTTTTTACTGATATTTAGTTGATATTACTGTTTTCATTTTTTTGTTTTTATTTTTACAATTTTGCTTCATTACCAGTAAAGAGCGAGTATCCTTCTATCAAATGTGTTGTGGAGTGGGAGCTGAGAGATAAAGACAACAAAGACCTGTTCTGCATCCGATTCCCAGTTCAGATTGTGAGCTAAACCACCATAACAGAGAAGAACCTCAGATGAGCTGCTTTTAAGAAGGGATTCAGCTTTGAGTAAAAAAATAAAAAATCTAATATCCCTGGTTCTTGAGACTTTTATCTAAGTGGGTTGCTCTGTGGGGAAAGGCACATTTTACATTTATATTACTGTATGTTTTAAAGTCTCTATACTCCAGTTAATGATGAATCACTTACTAAATTAGTTGACGATTATTGAAATAATCAATTAATATGATTCATTTTTTCAGCCCCAGATGAAATACATGAAATGGGCGACACAGAGTAACTACAGCCCAGATGTTCAACTTTTATAGTGAAGTTAATATTTTAATGAATGTATTATTTTGCTTGATACAGAGAGAGAATAGTAGGTACAAATATAAGAGTGGGGTTTAACTCTGCACAATTCTATATCTTCAAAAGAAAATACTGTATTTACCTTCTCTCTTAGTCGTTCAAATGAAACCGTTTTCAAAGTGGAAAACAGTCCTAATTCCACATTCATCAGAGCCGGTAATACTTCAAACATTGATAAACAGCATCTAATGAGTGTAGAGCTTATAACATTTTTATTAATGGAGCAAAATGTTGCTTTTCTCTTTTAACAATGAATTCCTCTTATCAGTACGGATGCTCACATCGAGCATAAAAAAGGGCATGCATATTGCATAGCACCAATGACACCAGACCAATAGTGTCCCTACCAAAGTTCAAATCAAACCTACGCCCTTGAGTAACAGCCAAACAGGAACAGACCAGATGAAGCTGCTATGACAAAAAGCAGAGAGAGCAGAACGCTAGAGATTGAACTAACAAATACTGCAGAGTGGGAGAATAGAGACAGAATGAAGCAGAGCAATGAAATAGGGGTCCCTATGTCCTCCAGCAGTCTAAGCCTATAGCAGCATAACTATAGAGATAGCTCAGGATAACCTGAGCCACTCTAACTATTAGCTTTATCAAAAAGGAAAGTTTTAAGCCTAGCCTTAAAAGTAGACAGGGTGTCTGCCTCACGGACTAAAACTGGTAGTTGGTTCCACAGGAGAGGAGCCTGATAACTAAAAGATCTGCCTCCCATTCTACTTATAGAAACTCTAGGAACCACTAGTAAACCTGCAGATTGAGAGCGAAGTGCTCTGTTAGGAACATAAGGAACAATCAGATCTCTGATATCAGATGGAGCTTGGCCATTTAAGGCTTTATATGTGAGAAGGAGGATTTTAAATTCTATTCTGGATTTAACAGGAAGCCAATGAAGAGAAGCTTAGATAGAAGAAATATGATCATGTGGCAGACCACTAGGGGACTCTACTCTCACTCAGTGAGGATGTTTATTTTGAAATATGATTTGTTCTGCGGTGTATCTATAAATGTTTGCTGTTCTGTTGCTTGTCAGTTAAGTGGAGAAAAGGAAGTGTTCAAACTCAGCTCCTTTGTGTCATTCTTTTAACTCATCCAAATTCTCTCTTTTTAATTTTCATCAGAACTCTGGCTACAGCATTTTGGATCAGCTGAAGGCTTTTAACTACAGTTTGTGGACTTCCTGATAGTAAAGAATGACAATAGTCCAGCCTTGAAGTAACAAATGCATGGACTAGTTTCTCAGCATCACCCCTGGACAGGAGA